GGGAATAGAGACTGACCAGTTGCCCACTGCCTCTCGGCAACGTAGGGGCCCCATCGCTTCCAGTAGGCGGTGCGTTCTCGGTCCTGCTTCAGACGCTTCTCCTCTTCGCAGAGGTACTCTTGATTCTCAATGAGAACCATGGTGACAATGTGTGCCGGAGGGGTGTAGGAGGAGTGTTGACGGCAGACAGCAAGTGAGGTTTGGGCGTTGGCGCGTGCAGCGGCGTCGAAGGAATTATTTCCTGCAGGTAGTATGGAGCAAACAATGGGGTAACTCAGACGATCAAGATAGTGGAGAAGAAGTAGGTGGGGTAATGTATATGAGAGACGCTGATGGCGAGGGAGTCCAATGTTTGGAGGTGGTGTGCATAGAGGAAGAGACAGAAGACGGACGGGATTTTGTCAAGGCGCGTGTCTTGGTGGTGGCTACCACCGACTTTGGACGCAGGAACTCGCGATGCATCATAGGACGGCAACCGTGCAGCGCGGGACTTATCGCGAACGGCTGACCTAAGCCCACTCTAGCCTAACGCCCTCCTCCGCCAGGTTTCAATCCCATGTCCAGCGAGCCGCAAAAAGGCTGGCCAGAAGCTTGGAAATGCCCATGCCCGCCGCTGCAGCAGCGTCGGCTACACGTGTCGCCCATCTGTTGAGCCGCTTTCAAAATCTCTGCGCCAAAGTGTTGAACGCGCTTACTGGGGGCGACGCCAGCCTTGAACAAGCAACCACGATAAAGACGTTAGTCTCCGGCCCTCCCCACCGTGCCATCGCCGATCGGACCTGGCCAGCTTCGGAAGGCCCTTCTGGGGTGTGGAGTGGTGACAGCGGATCCCGGCATGGGGATTCGCATGCCACACGTATCGACTTTGGAGCGTGGTGTCGTCCCTGCTTCCGCGGCATGCAGCACAGTTATGTACAAGAGTTGGGATGCATATAGTCGCGTTTCCGAGCCTGCGCGCCAGACGCCAATTCACGTGATGTATCACCGACATCCAACGGGTAGCCCCAAGCAAATTCAACTTGGCTACTCATGTGCGGGAGGTCAATGGTAATGAATGACGTCATCAGCTGCATGTCTTCGGTGCGAAAAGGTCGAGTTTAATATTATGAAACGAATGCACACGAGCCGAGAAGTTCAAGAATACGATACAGCGTCTTACGACTCTCGCAAGGGGGGCTGGGAAGTCGGTGTGGCAGGTCTGGCCGCCCACATGAACTTTGACCGGAATCGATTAGATGTTCCCTTTGAGCAGCGCTCATATGATGCGGCTCAGTCCTACTCCTAGCCACGACATTATAGTTTACTTTCACCTCTGAACCCAACAGCGCTATCGAGCGATCATGTTGGTACACATACATGTTGACCGAACTTTGCATAGCAGCCGACCAAGGCATCATCGCTAGTCATGAATTGCTGATGCACGAATGACCTCTTTCACATGCCTCCAAACGCGTAGCTGAAAATCCGGCAAGTATACGTATTTCTATTCCAACGCTGTACGAGGGCCATGCAGAGACTGGCAAGCTTGCTGGAAGATTGTGATGTTTCCAAGCAAAACCCGAATCGCTGGAACTGTGCATCGCAAGAATAGACGTAGGTATCACTACCCAAGTTAAAACGAGGGATTTGGTGCTCAAGGCCAATCGCGGGTGCTTCGTTTGCGTATCCACCAAGTCGAGGCACGACTTACAACCGTGCAGGTAACTACATAGTCTTGTATCATGTCACTTTAGTCGCCATGAGCGCTGCGTAGCCTTCCCATGGCGCTTGCTCTACTTAGGTATGCTATGGTGTTGATAGAAAAACATAGAGGGGCGTGGACCAGAGCTGGCCGCTAGCGCCTGCCACGGCGATTCTTCGGGCCGCGCCATTGATGGTCAGGTACGCGGCCGCTCAGCTCTACCAAACATTACACGTCTCCCAAGTCCGACATCCTCACACAGTCACGCCCAAGATGCTCGTCTCCCTCACAGTCGGAAAGGTCGATGCTGGAGTAGCAGTGCTACTGACAGAAGACAAGCGTCTTGTGAGCCCCTCAATGCCGCCCAGCGCTCAACGCAGCGCAGGCGCATCCTTGCTCTTCATCTGGCTGACGTAAAGGTAGATTGAGTTCCCTTCTATATTGCTACCCCCCGACATCTCGTCGGGCTCCATGGTGGATATCGATGTTGGAAGAAACTACAAAGCCGAAGCCGACGCCCAGAAAGCCTTCCATGAGCTCCAGTCGGACATCTTCCGCACCTTTGGCCAGCGCACCCCCTCAGCCCCCGTCCTCAAATGCCGCAATGCCACGCAAACCTCAGTCGTTCTCGAATGGGACCCTATCGATATCGCGACCGCCGAACTGCGCAGCCTCACACTATACCGCAATGGCAACAAGGCAGGCACAATACCCAAGCCCAGTGACGTGCACAGCACCAAGCTGAGTGGTCTGGCTGTCGACACGGAATATCAGTTCCATTTGGTCCTCAAAACGAGCGCGGGCACTTTCAGCAGCGAGAAGCTTTTGGTACAAACACACAAGATGACGGACTTGTCTGGTATCACCATCACGCCTGGCCACATGCCTGCGGCTCTCCGAGAGTCTCTGCAGCGGTCCGTGGAAAGAATCGGCGCCAAGATCGCGGACAATGTGCGCATCGACACCACGCACTTCGTATGCACCGAAGGCAGAGGGCCTGCGTGGGAGAAGGCGGTCGAGAACAACATACCTGTAGTTGTCCCAGATTGGGTCATAGGCTGCGAGAGGGAGGGCAGGATTGTCGGTGTGAGGGGTTACTACCTAAACGCGGACCCTAGGTTACGAAGCGTCGGCCCAGGAGGCTCACAGCAACCCGCCCAGCAATCACAACAGCAGCCTCAGCAACAACAGCAGCAGCAGCAACCCAGAAGTCCAATCATGAGCCCGCGCACCGAGGTGACACCACCTACACCCGAGCAACCGAGGCGTGACCGCGATACCGACGGTGCAGCGCCACCCCCTCCGCCACCCAAAGACGACGTTAGCGAGAAGAGCGAGCGAAACTCAGTGGAACCGAAGACGCAGACAGAAGAGCAAAAGGCTCGAACCGAGGATCTCAAGCCGCAAAATGGGAAGGAACCACAGCAAGAGGATAGCGAGGAGGACGAATCTGAGCCTGAGCCCAACGACGAGAAGTCTCTGGAAGCAAGTTTACCACAGAGACCGAAGCCAGGCCAAGCATCAGCTGAAGACGATGGCGATGGAGCCAGTTTTCAAGATGTGGAAATTTAGTAGAGGTGCTGAGAGGACATGTCAAATCTGGAATGCCACAGCGTGTCGACCTGGCTACCCATCTGCAGCATTGACTACAACCACGACTATAGCATTGTAATGATACCAATTTTCAAGACCACATTGCGGTTAAGATGACAGTTCACGGCCTTCTATTCGCGATCTGACTGCACTAGTCAGGGACATTGTCCCGAAATCACGGACCTTAGCGCTAACGTACTCGAACCCATCTCATTGGGCCAAGCCAGCATGTAGGGAGGATCCCTAATCGACCCACGAACACTAAGATCTTACGGCCGGTCAAAGCATCATATCCCACTCTATATAAATTCCGTCGTATGCCGCAATGTACCGATGCGCAGTAAGTCCAGTCTTCCCATCTCCTGGACTGCGGAGCCGGCATCATAGCAATGTCTCTTTTTAAACTTCCCGATATCATCATAACATTACAAGTACCCCTTCTCTACCTACTCAACATCCTTACCCTTGCCACCGGACCCGATCACCGCCTCTCTCGTATCGCTATCACTCTCCCTCTTCTCCTTCTCCTCGCCGCTCAATCTCTTTACCGAGAATGGGGGGATGCAGGTTGGGGCTACAACCTAGCAATCAACTGTGGAGTGGGCGCTCGTGTGTTCACCTATGTTGACTGGATCTTACTGGGGAGCCCCGACAAAGACGGGTGGTACAAGATACAATATGAGAAGGATGAAAATGACAAGAAGAATGACGACGTGAAACAGCTGGATTACAGAGACAGACCCGGTGGTGCAGGGAGAAGTTTCTGGAGCAGAGCATGGTGGGCTCTTCGTCTCTCGACGTGGAGCCGTTACACGGGATGGAGTAGTCAGGTCAAGAATGTGTGCATGGAAGTACCGGGCGACTACCCTCGTCTGTAAGTCTACCCCCAACCTATCATCCCCGACTCAACTAACCCAACCAAGTAAATTCATCGCCCGAAAGCTCGTACGCGGCCTCATCTTCTTCGTCATAAAAGACATTATAGTCTGCCACTCCGCCGCATCCCCCCACGGCTCCTGGATCGATATCCGCACGCAGAAACCACACCAGCCCTTCCCGGTTGACTCTCCCTTCCTCACTCGCTTCTACTACACTTGGCTTCATATCATGCTCACATTTACCACCATGGAGTTCTACAACATCGCTTACGGTATTGTATCTGTAGCCACCGGTCTCGCCAACCCACGAGACTGCCCCTCCATGTTTGGTAGGTTCCGCGATCTGTATAGTGTGCGCAGCGCGTGGTCGGTAGTGTGGCATCAGCAATGCCGTCGTATTTGCTCTCCGCTTAGTGTTTGGTTAGCGAGAGATGTGCTGGGTTTGCGAAAGGGGTCTTTTGCGTCCAAGTATGTTCAGCTTTTCGTCGCGTTTGGTATTTCGGGCTTGGTCCATGGGGTGGCGAGTATGCTGGTGAATTGCGAGTTTGATGACGACGGCGCGTTGAAGTGCTTTTTGTTGCAGGCTGCGATTATTGTGGTGGAGGATCATGTTATTGACTTGGGGAAGGCGATGGGGTTCAAGGATGGTATGTTTTGGCGGGTGGTGGGCTTTTTGTGGATGGTGGGTGCGTTGGGGTGGAGTCTGGAGCCGTGGATTGGTAGGAACATTGCGAGGGGTGTTTGGGTGCAGAATAGGGAGTTGGATCTGTTTGGTATTGGGCCTGTGGTGGTTGCGTAGAGGGTTTGGATGGAGTCTCAAAAGAAAGATCTGATGAGCTATGGATGTTTCAGTGCAATGTATACTTCTTGACTGGCTTCAGTGGCTTGTCGCTTGCGAGCGCTTCGCCATGCATATAACCATGGATGTATACATCGCCAACGTAGCGATACTCATTGCTTTCGCCTTCCGCACGCAGTATGATGGGTGTCGAACAACCAAACGGTACAATGACGATGTCTTCGCGGCCCATGAAACCCGTTCCCATGCCTATCAACCCGTCTCTCGTGATGCAAAAGGTTCTACCCATCTGTAGATGTTACAATACGTCAGCAGAGAAAGTGATGTGGAAGATTGCACGCACCATTCTGTCCCCAAAATATTGTTGTATGAATGATCGTAGCTCATGGGGTTGCAAGTTGTCCGACTCCCCTTGTTGCTTGAACTTGGGGTCTAGCTGAAGACGCGGGAATCGCTCCTGAATCCATGAAGAGAAGATATAATAGCAGGCTCTTGTCCAGCAATGCTCCAATTCTTCAAGTGGCTGACCTAATGAGAGCGTTTTGCAGAACTCATTTACGCGCGGATGATCCGCCTCTTCGTCTTCCGTAATGTCGAAATGAGAGAGAAGCAGCATCCGCCAGTTCAGGAAGGCCATGAGATAATCTTGTAGCGAGCACAGAGTGCCTACCGCCACACCGGTCGTATCGATAATATCCAATTCGACGGCAGAAATCTCAAGCTTCCGGAATTCGTCCTTGAACTTGTACTCAGCGTCGCGGTCACTTGCCGCCGAGAAGGTATTCGAAGACAGAGCCGAGTTTTCTGGAACCTGTGCCCAATTTGGACACCATGTAGGCAAGTCAGTAAAGCTGACCTGAACAGGAAAGTGAATCGCTTCGCGCATCACATCAAGGCGATGCGTGGAACAGACGATGAGTTGGGCGACTTCCAGGTATAGTGACTTGACGGATTTGTCGTAGCTCACGTGTAGGCGTTCGCGTATATCGTTTGGGAGTATGCCTAGCACACCGAATATCTTATCCCTTGGGTTCTCGCTTAGCTTCCTTCGGCAAGCTCGTAAAACTTCTAGCAGAGAGTTTGGGCCCAACACCATGAGACGTTGAACGTCTGGAAAGCTACTTGGTCCAGTCCAGAGGTAAGGGTCGCTTTCGTGTTGCCAAAGAGCATCTGATGCTTTCTTGCATAGGTGCCAGGGGAGTTTGGAAGAGCCGCAGTAGACTATCTTTTTCTTTGCATGGAATACTTCCTGTACAACCCAAAGCCGACTCCAATAGTTCCTCCTGAATAGAGAGTGCAAAGCTTTGACGTCGTGATGCTCCAATAGGCCGGTCCATTTACGTTTCGCTTGGGCCGCCGAATCAGTCAATAGTCGTATTGCCCGCCCACTATCATCTGCTTCAGGTCCAAGCCAAATGGCAACACATGTTGCCTGTCGGTAAATTTTGTCCATCAATTGGACCTGCTTGGCGCGTTCCGTCTTGTTCTCTTGGTCAATTGAGAGCCCGTCTATCCAAACCAGAATAGTGTGGTCTGGTTCGCGGACAGCCATTAGGGCATCGTGAAGATTCGCGTTGACTGAAACATGTTCAATGCCTTCCAATGTTATGTGTTTCTTATCAAAGCCATCCCCCCATGCATACGAAATTGCAATATAATCGGGTGGATGGCGAAGCGAACTGTAGACCATCTTGCACTCTGGACCTCGTCCATTCTCCGGAGATACTTCGATAAGCCGAAAATCGTTGGCTCCTTGTAGCTCTTTATACACGACCTCTCTTGCACTAGGAACCTTCATGGAGCTGCTCACTGCAGTAGCGAAATCTGAATCAGCCCTAGGAATCTTCGTAGAGCTGCTCCCTGCAGCATCAAAATCCGAATCAGGCCATGTAGTTTCTCCAGCGACACCGGCATGCGCAATGCTTCCTGCAAGCTTGATGCCCTCGGCAGTGATGGTAAAATGATCCGCTGACTGGCCTCCATAATGCTGTTCTCGATGGGTTTCCTGAATAGACTGCGTGGTTTCCTCGAAGGTCTTCTTTTTTGTCGCGTCGATCTGCGCAGGTTAGCAATGCTCGACCACGAACCGCCTTCTCGTTGAAGCTACCTTTTGATATGCAGTATGGGAGGAACGGTTGATTGGTCCTAGAAGAGCATGAAAAAGATCACTGGCTTGCTGGGCCGTAGTAGGCAAGAGACCATTATCTTGTTGTATCGGGGTTTGAGAGAGATGATCGCCTCGCCTCTCCGGCTTTGTGGGATTTCTCCCTTCGCGGTGGAAAGAATATTTTGGGTTCTTCATAGTTCCCCCGTATCGTGATCAACTTCATTGTTCGGTTCACCGCTAAGTTATCTGGTGGTCAGTGAAACCGAAAGAAGCGACTATTCGCAACGCAGCCTGATGCGGGGTTTCCAGCTGTGATGTGTCAGCCAGGCTACAGGATTGTCTAAGCGAATGAATGAGGCCATCAAGAGAATACCTTGCTTGAGATATAGCATTTTGTACAGTAGATGCGAGGTAAACATACGTATTTCTGGTAGCGAATGGAACTGCATCATGCTGTTGACGGTCTCGAGTTAGTAGGCAGGTTCATGCGATGGGTCACGCGAGGACCGACTACTCCGACTTCCACCCGACATCTAAGGATCATTTCGAAGCGATGACACATGGGAACTGGGTGTCAATCTGTGAGAAGGATGAGGTCCCTGGATAATTTATTCCATTCCCGAGTATACGATGCTCATGGCACATCAGGCTCTTCCTCGATTGACCGTGCAGTACCATGCCCCTAAACGCCATATATGCATACCTCTTCGCACCTTAATTTACATGTGAAGACCACGTCTCATTCCCATCTCTTCACGTTTATTCGTACGCCCCCATAGCCTCGCCCGCCCTCTGCTCGATATAGTACCCCGGATCGGGTCTCCTCGCAGCGCGCATTTGGTCCTTCGTCATTGGGTTCTTGACCTCCTTAACATCGACCAACTCCTTTATCCTCATGATCTGACCGGCGACAGATTGTGTGACGGGGTGGTAGACAGTCGTCATGCGTTTGCGGAGACCGAGCGCCTTGAGGACTCCTTGCGTCTTCTCGGGCATACCGATGCCGGAGCGCATGAGTGTTATCCGGAAATAAGACATGTTGGATATGTGATGTAGAGGGTTGGTGGCTTCGATGCGAGGTCTCGGTGCGTTTGCGAGTGGCTTTGAATGGGTTTGGTGTGGCGTTTGGCGTGGGCTCCGCGGCGACACGGAGTCAAATTAACTACCGATACGTCAGATTGAAGTGTTTATGTCTTGAGCAGCTTCACATACCGTTTGTGTGGCGATGTAACGTTGATGCCCGCCTGCGCGCCTGCGATTGTCACCACCAACTTTTCGGACTTCTGGAGACCTCGGAATGCGACGCTTGTCCCGAAATGGCCTAGAGTCGCGCGGGGCGGATGCCGAACCACGTGTGGGACCTTCACTCCTGTCTTCGCACCCATCTTCCATCATGAATGTCAATCGCGTTATGGTCAGCTCGATTCCACCGGCGCCGTCTGGAGAAGGAGCGGTGAGAACCTATCGACAGGTGTCGTCACTACTTCACGCAGGTCGCCTTCCTCCCGCGCCCCTGTGGGCGGTACTGTGAATTTCCATCCCCGATGCGCATTCGGTACTCGGGAGGGACTGCACGTCCCTCTCTCACAATACGGCGCATACGGCAAATGGGATGCGATGCCTGACGTTCCAACGTATGCGCATGCCCGTTTGCCTGTACGACCCCAATATTGGATTCCAAGGAAACGACACATCGGTCCGATGCCTTGACGCTTCTAGCGGCACAGAAAGCCATGTCTCAAAAATTCTATCTTTCGTCCAGTCTTTTCCTGGCAGATTTTTGGAAAGATGACGTCTCCATGTCGAATCCAGTATTCTTGTCAAACACCAAACCCGTTATGTCTGCAGTTATGTGTTTTCTGATGCACCTTCCGTCAATAGCCTGTCCCTTGCTGTCACGAGGGTCTCAAACCATCATCCATGGCGGTGTTCTCCGCATCGGAGTATGCTAGAAGTCCAAACGTGCCTCGCTAAGAGGCCCTTCGCGTCGATACGCCTGATGCACAATCCGCATTATGCGGTCATGCAAGATACCGCGATCTGCATACCAAACGGATAGCGATGGAGAAAGGGCATTCGAAGCAATGACACCGACGATTCGTTCCACATGCACCTGGCCTTACCCCCGTCACCAAACGAAAAAGGTAGCAACGGTACGGTACCTCAGGACTAAATGTATTGTGACCGTGTCCCCACTACCCGGTTGGGCCTGCCGACGGCACCGAGCGTGGGATCTCGTTGTCTCTTTGTTGACTCTCGGGTAGTCAACACTCGAACAGACGAAACGATGTACATGCCCGTCGGCGGAAGGAAAGTCAACATGACCAACGAACTCCTGATTCAAATGCATTCGTACCGTTTGAACGGCCTCATTGACCGGTCTCTTGGGACTGTACGTTCAACTAACATATGGAGGCATAAAAGACTTCTATTTGAACGTAGCAGCTTCCATCATACAGTCCCCCAATTCAGAGTCGTCTGTCAATTACTTTCAGTAAACCTCAAAGACACTACAAGTGGGTTTGACGTGGACAGTATATCCAGTCAGCAAAATCTCATATTCCCTACAACCCGTTGTTTTGAAGACACATCAATTGCAACTCCATCATGACAGGTAAACCTCCGAACCCTCGCAGACACCCCGAATAAACATACTGATAGATAAATAGCACTTTACACTCTTACACAACCCCATCCGATCCATGCATCACCGACACCACCCCCCGCCCCAACCGCCATACCGACACTGGTCTACCGCGTTCACCGCACCAGCTCGCAGACCCGCTACGCCTTCTCCACCGGCTTCAGTTCCAAGAACCAAACCACCATCGTCAACTACACATCCGCACTATCCCGTTTCGGCCTCGCCCACCTGAACCAACAAACCAACATCTCTTCCCCCTTCATCAGCGTGTACGACAACCTAGCTCATGCGGAAGCCGTCGCCAAGCACTTCGGAGAGCGCTATGGCGAGGACACCTGGGTTGTTACCGTAGATCCCGCGCACTTTGCTAGAGGTCCAGTGTTTCGCGCTGCGGACCTGCTGAAGGATGCCGCCGGTGGCAAAGAGGTAGCAGCGGAGTGGTTGCATTATGGTGAGTACCTGGTCATGTATCGCATTCCGCCGCAGGCGATACGAGATGAGACGCCTGTCTGTAGGGGTACGGCTCAGCGGAGGGCAGTGGGCGTGATCGGTGGTGGAAAGTAAAGTGTGTTGATGGCGATGGTAATATTGATGTGATCAGAGGAGTTGGGCGTATATCGGTCGCTGGGTAGGCTTAGCGAAACTACTGTATAATCCCCAAATCTCTTTTCCTTACTGTTGGAATGTTTCTCTCTGCTAGTTGGTATTCACTAGGTAGTCCATCTCTTGATTCTGTATCCCATTCCTTCGCAATCTCGCTATAGCTTCCAATCCGTCGAAGGCCTGATTGAGGCACCAGTCCATCCCGAGCCAGATTGCCTTAGCAGCTAGCCATAGAGGGAAGTACTGCAGACCATGATTGGGCTCTTGTCTGGGCGGTACTTCCAGCATTGTGCTCTTGCAAACAGCAGTAAGGGTGCTTTTTCGCAGCGACGCATGTGACCTTTTTTCGCGTGGTCGGCGCACTTTCGGGACGAAATCAATCCGGGTCCTTGAGCGAGGTAGTTGCGAAGGCATCTTGAGAGAAGAAAATGCGGTGCATTTATTGTCGTATTTGTTTGCGAATCTTCTTCATCCGTCTTGAAGTGCCCAGGTGGTGCTATGATCTGGCAAAGGTCGTAGTGTGCGAAAGAAAAAAGAGACAAGGACCTTGCATTCGCAACATGAAATCGCCCACGCGCACGAGTCCAAATTTTCATTGGGTATGAGTTGCATTGAAGCGTCGTTGATAGGGTCCATGTGGTGGCTGGGAAGTTCGCGAAGTTTGGTACCCATGGACTGGCGCAACCTTGTCAACCAATACTTGGCCAAGGAATTGATTCATAGAATATCTGAGTACCTTTGCTATGAATATATCTAAAAACCTAAATTACCTTCAAACCTCGCCCGCGCACTTCAAATATATACCTGCCTATGCAGGAGAGTCGCAAGGCAGCACTGTCTGTGCGCAGACCCACCCGCAGATGGCTGCCTAGGTATTCAGGCCTCAACTCTTGTAATGTGAACGCTATAAACACGTCAAACCCCGTGTGGTTACATAAATCTTCAATCAAGCGGTTATATCTCGAAACGATTGCATTCGCATCTCATTACAATCTCTCCATCCGTATTTCTCCGAATTTAAAACATCTTCCTTTCCTTCCCCAATGACTACCACCGTCAAAGAATGGATAAAGAATCTCTGCGTCTATGAAGACGATGAATTTGTCCGCCACAGGAACTGGGGCTTTACTATCTACCGTACGGGATACGGACCTTCATCTGATCAGCAATGGCAGCGACTTCTCCAAAAGATCCAAACCGATGCGCGCGAAGGGGCTCTAGAAGCGACTGGAACCGAAGAAGACGAATCTGGCTTCCAACAAGTGTGGGCGCTCTTCCGCCTCGATGCGCGGTCAGACCCTGCGCTGGCTGGTCTCGATGTGGATCAACTTCGCGAGCTGTACAATAAAGGCGAGGGCGAACAACCAATGAATACGGACTACGACCTACACCGAATATTCCTTTTTGCCGATGACGAAGCTCTATCAGACCCCACCGCTTCCATCATCAAGGCTGTGGACGCCGACTACCGTCCAGAAGACCATGTCTCGCGAAACCCGCGAGTTGGTTCGCAACGTTACTTTGGCTGGATGCCAATGAAGGCTGCCAGCGTGGCAGAATTCTGGAATCGATTACAGTTTTCCGACATGAGTATGATCGCCCCTCCAACGATCGGGGGAAGTCACTTGGTGATTTGGGATGGAGACAGCTGGAAATGAAGCGTGTAGGACCTAGAGACAGTTCAATCGAATACAGCTTGTAGGCGCAGCTTGCTGATCAAACCCAAGCTTTCTGAGTCCATCGTGGCCGTGTCATTATCGTCGCCTCAGACTAATGCGCCTCTTGGCGTTTCTCAGCTGCTCTGATCTCTTCCATTACCCTGTCGTGCAGTGCTTCGGATGTCATCCAAAAGTTGTCATCGGTTATGAACCATTTACACATATAAGCGCCCCCGTGGCCCATGGCAGCCAGAGTCGCCACTAAGTAGTCCAGCTCATCTACAACAAAGCTATCAGAGTGTGCCGAGCTTACGGGTACATGAAGCACTTACGTTTATTGTCTATCTCGCACTTGACAATATAGTGAAAGTCGACACCGTGTGCGTTGAAGTATTCCTGAAGGCTGTGGAGCGAAAAGGGGAATGTGAACTGCACACCGTCATGAACGTAATGAACGCTCACCTTTTTGAGCTTGCGGGGGAAGTTTATATCGTCTTGAACAAGTTCCCGTAGCTCCGCGGTGTAGTCGACATTGGCGTTCATAGCGGATCTATCATACTTTAGTCTTAACTCAACTAAATTTGGCGGCAGTAGATCACGGAGCGATCGGGCAGGTTCTGGCGTCTCCGGTAGTTCATCGTAATGGATTCCTCGTTGTTTGCCCACAACGGCAGTGTAGTGCAGTTCCAGTTCTTCTAATTCTTCCATTTCAGATAAAACATAGTTTCGCGGCCATTCGTCCGTCCAGGTAAGTGCACCATTTTCGTCGGTCCGAAGTTCGAGCTTTTCGAGGGTTTCGCTATGTGATCTTGCAGCTTCGAGAAGTGTGGAATGCCAATCCACTACGTTGTCATCGGGTTTATCGGGTCGATCACATCGGAAGCTTGACACAGTCGCACATGATTGTAACAACTGTGTTATGTGATCTAATGGCGGTTCGGACGGCGAGACTATGGAGATGTTTTGCACCTTAGACGACCTTGGAAGTATATCCCAAGACCCATGATCGATGCCAATTGTTGGGACACCGTATGATATGTCGTGAAGCTCCAAGGTCCTGAGCGATGGCAGATGTAATACGGGAGCTATCTTAGCCATTGGTATTCCTGTCATGTCGAGTGACAGAAAACAGAGTTTCGCGAACCCAATTGATGTATCGGCTGGTGCAGTTACATACTGCTGGGCTGCGTGAAGCAAGGGAGTAAGCCAGAGATACCGATGAGGCGTATGTGCATCGTCTTCAGGTACTGAATGGAATCCATGCCTACGCAGATCCCACAATGGAGTAGTAGAGCAGTAACCACGACTACTATAACGGTGATGCAATCTGGAAAGGACTTGGAGAGCGGTGCGAGCCTCCAAGACAAGAAGCGCCAGCTCTACTTCTTCCGGATGAAGAGCAACGGCCTCGACCAAAGTGCTTTCGTAAGGAAGGGATAATGTTCGGATATGTGCAGTCATCTCTGCCTTGCTCATGCTCAGGTGATTGCCACTTGCAAAACTCCTATCGCAGGATCCGCCGATCAACAGCTCGCGAACGTATGACGCTTTTTCAGGATGGTCGTGTAATGTGCGGAGGAAGCCGCTTAAGTTTCTGGGATTGGAGATCTCGCAGCTCTCATAGAGCAATCGCATGCCGAAGGGATACAGGTACTTGCAGGTCCTAGCAAGAGCGGCGAAAGTAGACCTTGCTAAAGCTCTATCACAAGCCGATCGCTCAGATCCATCCCACGGGAAAACGCGCTACATGAATGAGAAAAGAAGTTAGTATATGCAACACATCTGCTTGTATGAGAAAGCTCATCGTTTGACCGTACTTATAACACACCCGGTAAAGCCAAACACTTTGAATGCCTCGAGGATATGGTAAAAGCACTACATTGAAGGCAACGAGCTCATTTGCCCAGCACAACTTACCTCGCATATTTCCAGGATGAGCTCGTCTGGAAGAGGAGCTAGTGGGTTGACGATGGTATCTTTCGACGCTATACGCGCAGACGGACAGCGCAGGGCCTGCGAATCAGTCAGCGAGTGCGATGTGGTTGACAATTCTTTGGCAGTCGGCCTCGGTGCAGAAGTCGGTCGCTCTTGACATAGTTGGTTTTGCTCATCGGCGGCCTCGCGGCTGCCTTCGCGACGAATCCAAGGCACGTGCACACGCAATGGAATGTAGGAATTTCGTACTTACCTCCATCGTCCTCTAGTCGGGCAGGTTTGTCGCGTCAGAAGTTGTGGTGAGTATCTCTTGTTCGGCGTCAAACACGACAGCATGGTTGCCTAAAGTGCCCCACTTCAGATGCGGTGTGACTGCCGTCGGAAGGAGGACCGAACAGCAGGACCGAAAAGAGGATGGTAAAGGGCTGGGATGAGCAACTCGATCAACAAACCAAACACGAAAGTGCAAACCGGTTTCGCGAATGTCGGACGACAAATTTAAGGTTGCAGATCTCGTATTCAACGTGTTAAATCGACGACGCTGCTGTTATTATGAAATCGGGTCGTCTTCTCCAGATATGAAAGCTGGATACGTGAGTCTGCGTTTACATCTGAACCCGTTTTCGTAGTTTCGAAAGGCCATTGAACTGTATTTCGCGCATTACACTTCGTATGTATCTATAAAGTGCCACTCAAGAATGGCAGCCATCCTCGGCTAGACCTGCAGAACCCCGTGTGTACCGCCCAAATACCAGCTCGCCGAGAAGTACGCTTCCCGTGACAGCGAATAGGAAACCGATGTTGTAAGTCATAACAGCAAGCATTCTACTGCGTCGTTAGTATCTCAGCTCTCAAAGGTTTCGTTCACGAACGTACAATACGTAGCCGATCAATGCGCGACTAAACTCCAAAGCAGCGCTTATGCCATCTTTCTTCGCGCTCCAGGGTGCTTGTGCCACCCAGAAAGTCTTACGTGATGCCGTAGAGCCCCGTGTAATACCAGTCTCCTCCGCTGCAGTTGGTTGTGGTACGACTGGGCTCAAAGGCTCAATCTCTTGCCTGTCCTTATCATCCAGTTCGAGAGGCTGTTGTCGCAGCGCACGGCTCCATTGCCGTGCATGGCCACGAACACTGTGGTTGACCAGCTTCTCCGTGTTGGGCATGAACTGTGATGTGCTCTCGGCCTGCTGTTGCATCCTCCATTTTCTCTCCAGTTGGCTCTTGAAAGCACTCAGGAATCGATTGAAGATGCCCAATGAAAAGAGGAAGAAGATCGTTAGCACATAGGTCGCCGTTGTCGTCGTCGTCCATTCAGTGAACCAAAGCGTGACGCGGGTGCTACTCGAAAAGGTCGATGCCATCCCCGACATGTCCATTGCTGACATTGATGCCCCGGGACGCATGGATGCCATGAGGTGTGCGTGAGCATCAGCGGAGGTGGCCGAAGGCATATCCATGTTCATGTCTGTGTCCGTGTCGATCGATATAACTCGTGGCAGAACAGCTTGTATGAACGTTTCAGAAGGAAAGAAGGGTGGAAAACGTGGGAGACTACTCTTGTAGCGGAAATGAAGATGTCAGCCGTCAGCTGTCAGACCATACAAGATCGTGTTTTCTGGGTCTGAACCATCATTAAGAGAGTTGAGAAGCACGTCGGCCAAGATCGCCAGGCACCGTGATGCGCAGATGTGGTGCCGCCAGATGAGCAAGTTTGAGTCCATAGGCGCGCGCCGGCCCGCAACGCGGAGCGGATGGCATGCACGTAGAGCTAGATCCGACGTTGTCGCGACTGTACTTAGGGAGCTCGATTGCGCTGATTTGTTGGACCTTCTTGTCCTTCCAGTGTCCAGTCTCGAAGCCGATGAACAGTTGAACCTCTGGCGTGTTCACGACATGGGGTCAGTACATTCTGTCAGTAAGTGCTGTCAAACATTTTCCTGACGGAAAAGCAAATCGCGTATTTCTTGATCTTCATACTTACGACCATGTCCTACACTATACGTCTGTCTCTTTCGCGGCCCAAGATCCCAAAGTGGGTACGTAGACTGCAGAGGAGAACTCGGGACTGTTCCGACCAGACTACTGCAGTACAGACGTGTACAGAGCAGATCTGTATTTCCTCAGTACGTTGACAAGCTCTAATGTAGATCAGAGCGTCTAGAGCCCGACTTTAGTAAGAAGTTTTCCCAGGGCCCAGGGCCCAGGTTCCGAAGCCTGTAGCCCCACTGATACTCCTTTACGACACACGTGTGAAGTGGGAGGGCACTCGCCGTCCTCGGGCACCATACTGTGATCCACTTCCTCTGAGTGGACCATTAACTCGGTGTTTCGATGGTCGTTCAACGGTGTTAAGGTCGGTGGGATGCGTTCACGGTCGTGTGATGGACGCTGTGGCCGCAATGTACCCTAACGGCAAGTGCCTGGCTTAGTGCACCGCCATACAGCCAAATGATGGCACGCCACATCGCGCGCGTGTTTGCGGCGTGTGCAGCCCCATCGGAGGTGGCTCCACCGTCGCGGTTTCACCTCGTGGCTCTGTGCGCGGAGATCGCGTGCTGACTATTCTGGAAGGCTGGAAGACTGACGACTGCAGAACACAGATTCGCAGTTCGTGTCATGTAGGAGAAGTATCCAGCGAGCTCGGACCGTTGCCTGGTCTGAAATGAACGTTGGCCGGGTGTGGAGTTAAAAGCAAGACGCACGTGCTTTGGAAGGTTGTTGGCCCAAAATGAAGCCAAGACAGGCGGGAGATGTGCATCAAAGGTTATTCACCAATTAAACACCGGCTGTAGCGTCCCCTGCCTTTCCCTTCTGGCAACGTGGTTCGAAAACGGCGAGATTCCAAGATTGAGATGTCCTGTTGCAGATGGACACGGCGACGGAATCTTGGGCCGATGCATGTGAGATGCGCGTATATTGGGCGCTATGACATGGAACGCGTCGAGTGATGATGATACCAACACTCGAGGCCAGGGCCATGCTGGTGATGATACGAAGCCTGTGCCCCGAGCGCCCTGCATGCACGGCTGCTACCGAACGGTGCAGCGAAGGTTATCAACATTGCGCAGTCGAAACTTTTGTTTGCTGTACATAATTTCTTCTTGCACGCGACCGTCTGCCCTAGACTACTACAGCCACATTGTAATCACCCTCGCCCTGCTTCAACGTCGGACGTGCCCCGCTTACCATAATAAGGTTTTGGACATATCCCCAGATTTCCTTCGGTAATCTCATCAGGGGCACCTTGAGCAGCGCGCCCTCCAACACCCGTATCTGAAACTCTCTGGAAGAGCTCCCCCGAAACACATCCTACCGTCGACTGCTCGTGATGCTCTGTCGCCGACTCCCCCCAATATAGCCCGACACGTCTGGTGCCATGCCGAGCTGGAGACCGCTCCCGCGCATCGCGTTCGCAATATGCATATACCCCTTCCAGCCCTCGTCGCCCGCCGACCTGCCCCTCGAGATCGGTGACGAGCTGTACATCATTGAGCAGGGCGGCCAGGATGCATCATGGTATCGAGGATATCTGGTTGCGCCGCCCTCGCTGCTGGCTGGCCTGACGAGCGTGAAGGGCCAGACACTCGAGGCACGCGTCTTCTCTGGCATATTCCCGCGATCGTGCGTCGAGGTGCGTGAAGTCCTGGGCGAGAGCAAAGACACGGCGAACCAGGACGCTGGTCACGACTCGGGTCGTGGCAGCCACTACGCGCATCCGACCAACGGCATCGTCACGCCCACCGAAAGCACACGTGCGACCTCTCCCTCTGCCAAAGGCTCTGGCCCGAATGCGCGACGAGCCTCCAAGACGGATGCCGTCTCTGCGCTGCCCTCGTCCCTGGCCCGCCCACTCTCACGCCACAGGTCTGCCCGAAAGCGCGCAGGCAGCACCCACTCGCAGTGGACCTCGCGCGAAGAGCATCTGCAGCAATTGATGCTCCCGCTCTCGCCCATATCCGACCCGACCGCCCCACGACCGCCCGCGCCAGTACCGATGCTGAAGATTGGCGACGAGACACCCACCTCCGCCCAGGAGCCATTGGTTGACGAGATCGCCTCCTGCCTTCGCGAATGGCACTCCACAAAGGTGCACGAGCTGCTACTGGCACGCAAGTATGGCTCGTTGGACAAGATGTCACGGCTAGTGAACCGCCTGGACACGGCGCGCCGCCAGCTGTTGCACAAGGTTCTCACGGCCAAGGAGCTGGAAAAGGTACGCGAGGCGACCGTCTGGGATCTTGTGGCAGGCAATAAGATGCTCTGCGGAGACGTCATCGTACGGAGCCCCTCGCAGCGCGGCCGCATCCTGACGGGCGACGACTCGGCCATCGAAGTCACAAAACTGCAGTCGATGATGAGCCTACTGGACAGCCGACCAACAGCTCATGTCGACGAGCACAACCTGAACCATTTGTTCGTCAGTCTGAAACATGTGACGGGAGACGTCGTCAATGGCGCGGCTCAAATCAGCATGTACCTGTGTCTGAAGACGCCGGGAGCAGCGCCACAGCCACTCTCCGAGGCGTATTCATTCGACTTGACTGGACGAGATGGATCAGCCGTGTCCCTGAGCAACGACAAACTTCGCGCACTGCTTGTGGATCTCAGCCTGACCGATATTGGTGAGGGCGCAGGATCCGGCACTACTCTGTATCTTGTCTTCAGGCTGATGACAAACGAGCCACTTCGCTCGCCGGCTGCAGCCGAGAAGGCAGGCACGGGCAAGGAAACACCGCCGGGCAAGGGGTCGGTGCAGCCTTCCCAGCAGGGCAGCATCAAGGGTGGAAGGCGCAGCGTCATGTTCGGCTCCAAGAGGAAGGAGTCAACAAACTCGCGACACACCGAATCACGAAACACAGATTCTTCTGATGAACGCCATCGCCCGAGCCTCGAACAGTCCCGATCACAGACACAGACGTCTGATGCGAGACCAGGCTCTTCCGCAACTGCAAGCACGCGAGCCCGCGCTCTCTCAAGAGACCAGAAGACGCTGAAGAGATCCGTCGCAGTTGGTGTGGTGTCTGTGAACCAGATACTGCAAGCCCGGTCAGAGGCCGATCAGACCGTCAGGATGTACAGCACAGCAACACCTGGAGAAGACATCTTGGATAGTGATGGCGGCTGGGACAGTGTATTGCCAGAAATATACCCAAGCGCCACCGGCAAATACAAGCTGAACGCGCCTATCAGTCGACTTACCATACACATGAAAGCCTTCGTCCATGCAGACGCCGAGGGTCTCATCGCCAAGATCCCCACGATGCTGCACAACATTAGGCAGTGTCGCAAGATTGGTTTCTCTGGGGCTCCGACAAAGCCACGCAGCGACATCTACCTCACGCTCGTCGAGCCTTTCCTCCCGAAGAACGCATTCCTGGCCCACCCAAAGACCGGCACTGTCCCGCTAATCCAAACCTCTCAGATGACCAACCTCCAGCTTACCATTGAGGTCCGCAAGAGCTCTGGGGAGCGCATTGAGGGGTGCATCTACCCGTCAACTAACAGTGCAGGCCATACCGCATGGCGCACTACAGCAGCCCAGCGAGGCGAGGGATGGAACGCGACAGTCCGGCTTGCTATCGACCCCCAGGATGTTCCCGGGTCACACTTGGTTATGAGCATTGCCGATGCCCCCGGATTTCCATTTGCGCTTTGCTGGATGCCCCTCTGGAACCAGGATGCCTTCGCCCGCGATGGCGACCATGCTTTGACGCTGTACAGATACGACGAATACACCTCGGGCATGATCGCTGGAAAGGGAGCATATCTTGGCCTGCCTTGGAGTGCAAAGAAGAAGGATGACCATGTCATGGGTCCAATGGCATCTGTCCACGTCAAGACGTTCCTTTGCAGTACCCGATACTCCCAAGATCCGACCATACTCGGTCTCATCAAATGGCAGGAACAACCGCCAGGAGAGCTTGTAGGATTGTTGCGCCGTTTCAACTTCGTTCCGGAGATTGAGATCGTCAAGCTGTTGAGCGAGGTGTTCGACGCCCTGTTCGCTATACAAAGCCATTACGCCGGAAGCGATGAGTACGAGGATCTAGTGTTCAATGCTGTTGTGATTGTACTGGGCATAGTGCACGACAGACGCTTCAACCTTGAGCCATTGGTGGATCAGTATGCGCGGACCAAATCATTCCACTCTCTTGTTACCTCA